GAAACGCAACAATTACAATAAGCCAGGAAAAAGGCGTGGTTCAGTGAAAGCACACTTACTTCTTATACCCAACTTTGCGATCCTAATGAGGCATAATAGGATTTGGCTAGCTACGCCATATTTAATACAGTTATGTATAAGATTGGAATATGATTGCACTGGGCTATCTTTATTTCCTTGCTTATTGTATTTAGTGCGTCTATTCGTGAAGTATGATTTCTCTCTCTGACATTATCTCTCACATAATAGACGGGTTCACAGGACTGTGAGCTGACTCTTCAAGACTCTTTCGGGTTACAATGAGACTAATCCACGAATTCCTTCCAATTGACTATTCCTTCAAAATGAAAAGTCGTGTCACAATATATCATTACGCTGTTCTTTATATACGTGTAAATATATATGACAAACACGTGTTTGCCTCAGCGATGATACCACTATAAGTTATGATATGGCAAAATACTATTATGTCTTCAAATTCGTTTCTGCCCTTCTACTGACTGGCCCTCATGTAAGTTTAGCCTAGTGATAGGATGTCAAAATTATACACTGTACAACCTCAGCCAGAGTTCGATTCCCATTGGGAGTGCTGATGAGACGAAACTGCACTTCAATTCGGACGATAGTATCCTTAGGAAAGTAAGGCTGTGTGAAATTCAGTGGCCTCATGAGACTTATTTATCGCGTTGTGAAAAAATTCCCTATCAATCATTTATCACCTAAAGTTGACTTAAGTACTGATTTAAAGCATGTTTTATTTCTTTCATATTATTAAAAATTAAGTGTCTAACGTATCCATTTTTATAAAAAAAATGAAGGCCAGTGATGAAATTCTGGCGAAGAAAGCTGGTAAGAGCCAGTTTGGACGTTAATAAAAGGGTTGAGAAAGACAGAAGTGTTTTTCTTGATATTAGGCTCAGTCAAGTTATCAGAACATGTAATCAAGGACACGTACAACACCGTGAAGCATTCGCATGTGGCAGTAGATTGATAAGCTTTTACCCTTTTTATAAATAGATGTTTACAATATTCATATGTCGCATAAGCTGGTGTAAGAACTAATAGCTGAATTCCCAACAATGAGGTGAGTAGAATTCCTCACGATGCAAGTAAGACTGATATACCTTTGTCTCCTCACGATGGTAATGTTGCAAGTTGATGGGCACGATCCGGCTTAAAATCCTGTCGGGGGTGTTGAAAGGACACAAGTGAGGTCGAAACTTTAGTCAAGCACGGATTAAAAGCATTTTGGAAGGAAAAAGTATGCGGAGTCTATTGGCCTCGCGAGATATTTTATTTATTTCAAAGTCGAAAATTTAACTATCAGTTATTAAATCATATTAAGTACTCTAAGCTGACTAAGGCTAATATTCAAAGTTTACAGTAATAAGATATAAATGAGTAAGCTTGAAACATTAGGCAATACAGGCACTATGGAAATGATGATGAAACGATGTGATGATGATGAAACGATATACAAGTTGAGTTGCCCGAAAAATAAAAGTTATGATTTTAATTATGAATTTCAAACTATTAAAAAGAATTTGCACACAAGCGTAGAAGTCCTAATGGAGTTTGGATGAATCATAGGTGCTTCCTAAATGGAAATGAGAGGACCTAGCAGCCTGCTTAGAGCACCAAATAGTCCGATGGTGTCCAGATCGTTTGAACTGGTTGGTGTCATACTACTGAATATACTTCAACGTCTAGAAAGCGATGCTTTGAAGACGTAAAACTATTTTGCCCACCCGATCTTTCTCTCACCCTCGTTCTTCAAAACAAAACGTGCAGCAGAATGTAAAAGAAAAGCCACGCCTGTCACTTGCTAAAGAGAGACGAGTTACGAAGTTTCCTTGTCCTTAAACCAACATCAAACTTTTGCACATGGCTGGTCTACGCTCACTTACTGAGCCTAAACTGTTCGAAAGATACTCGTAAGATGGGTTATAAATGGAGCGGACCAAAGTTACAATACATAAAAAACATGCTGACTTTTAAGCAAGTTTCGTTCAATTAAATGAACTCATTGGTATGGCAATAATAATTTTGACTATTCATCTTATCCAAATCACATACCGTCCCTCGGAAAGCCAGTAAGCCCTAGTCGAAGCCTTAAAGTGAACCTCCAGAATGAGATATTCTGTCTAACTCACCAGGCTGTTGACATGCTGCTCCTTGAGTGCCTTGACATTGACATTTGCCATCTCCTGATGCCCGTTGATGCCATTTTCAAGAGGGCGTAGTCCATTCATCTCGCTGTTGAGGCATGTAGCTTGGGCAATACGCGACTTTATTGAGGGTACCGACAGACCGTCGGACATCAAATCTGAATTCTCCTTTGGGGTAAGCCCACCTAGAAAGCAGAAGCAAGGAAAAGTCAGTGTCCTATCCAGAATTTTAATGCCATTCGGTAATAGAGAAGATTGCACTGTATGAAATCAAACATTAAGCACCAAAAGTAGACACAAAGGAAGCGAATAGGAATAATGTGAATGTAGGTAATCTTTTTTGTCACCCCACAAAATAAGTGGTGAGACCTATTGTTGTGATTATATTCGGCACCCCTTTGTATGCTTGGGGTATCCTCTCATCCGACCTCGTTTAAAGACACCTTTGCGTTAAACACCGCATGGCATGCCTCGTCCATAAGGCTTAACATGATAAAAGTTCTTTGAGGCAACGCTACATGCCTTGATTATCTTATATTGTTAGACATTCACGTTTATACATTATGCGATCACTAGTACACACGCCTCGGACGCTACAAATTGTACGCCCTAGTGGGTCAAATTAATGCACAAACTCTGTCTCTCCCACATAAAATGCATTCCTTCCCTCCCTCCTGATGAGGAGCTAGTAGCCTCCCGATCCATTAAGATGTATCTCAGGCCTCTCATGCAGGGAAAAAATAAGTGGAAATAACCATGTCTACCCCTTCAGTGTGGTTGTCCCGATGCGAAAACCCACTTTCTGCCTGACCCTTGATATACGTCTGGACGGCCTTTTTGGACAAAACAGCTCATTGGCCGAATGTATAATGACGAAGACCTAGTGCATATAAAAGAGGAATGATAGAGGACTGACTGGTGTTTATCATACGAGAGAAGGGTGTTTTTCACACATTTATACACAACTGATGTTAGGGCCTGCCACAACGCGATACATGAGCGAGGATTGCCGCATGAATCAGCCTAAAAGACTTAAGCAGTCTTGGGTAAAGTCATTGAGGCTCCACCTGCATAGCAAAAGCACATAGTAATTTTCTAGGCCTTAGAAAACTGTAAAATCAGCTTAGACTGTGATGCAATGGATCTAAAAAGTCAAAGACCAAAGAAAAGCATCTTGTTGCTAGGTTGGCTGACCAAGGCCGCATCCATTTTGGCCTAGTTTCGGCTGCACTGAAAAATCTCAAAAGTTTTATGTTAATTCAAAGTGAGAAAGAAAATTGTAAATTATTTTGGGAAGCACGCTGCTCAGAACGATTCAGCCAGAGTGACATGAGGTAATGACAGCCCAAAGCATTATGATAATTTCAGACTTCAAGGAAACTTGCATAAACATTGACATCACTGCAAAAATGTATAGTCACTGGGCCTTAAGCACCAATGAGGCTGATCTAGGCAATTGCAATTTTTTAATCATCCAGGGCGTGACCAGTCTCAAGCATAAAGTGGACCGGAAATAAACTGTCTAGTTCAGCACATTTTGTGTGTCTGTGCTTTCCCCAACTGACATTCGTAAACGCCCTAGGTGAGGTGAGCTATGAGATAGGCAAAAAGCTTAGAAGTAAATTTAAGAGTAAATACCCTTTGGTTTCTCCAAAATTTCATGGTTGGACTTTCAGTTAGACTGATAAAACTCAACAATTCCTTAACCCAAATTAATCGAATCTAATAATGCTTGAAAATTTATATGAGGGATACAGACAAGATAAAATCACTATAGATGATGCACTTGGTGGCCTCTCATTAGATCCGTGCAGCCCTCTGTATTGCAAAATTTTCGAATTTAGCTTCTTCTGTGTTAAAATTTTGAAAATTAATTGACTAAATTAAAACATATGCAGCTTAAAATTACTCATTTAATGGATCGTATCATTACCATTGTTGGTACTGCTTTTATTGTGACTTAAGTAATAAGTCAATCAAAACTCTTACCGTGTAGCTATAATAACTATTATTAATACAACTATGGTTGGATAAGTAAGAACAGTTACAAATATAATAGATAGAAAGAACATGATTATAATTAAAGAATCTAAAGCTAGGTTGGGATTTAATAAGTTTGCTGCTGAGCTGAATTTCATTTCGTGTAAAAAATGAGTCCAAGAGAGAAGATTGATTTCACCAAAAAGCGGCGGCAGAGCCTGATGTAGTTCAACCAAGAGACGTTTCCGCTGACGCAAACCTTAATCCGGCATACCAGTGTTTAGATAAAGAAGTGTTAATCCGCCGTCTGCCAATTGACAAACGTTGTTAGAGTTCGGTGTCATTCTGACGACAACACCAAGAAGAAGCTAGCGTGGGAATAATCGGTTTTGATCTAACTTAAAAGGCGGGTATTAGATAATTTGTACATTCTATTTGTATGAATGTATATGTATTCGTGTTGGAGGATATTCAGTGGGAACAGATTTAATACCAGCAAAGTTACAGACAAAATTAAGTAGTGTTGTTTGCTTTTTATTCTCTTTGAAATAGTGAGTAATGGGATTCGTAAAATTGCAACAGTGTCATCCGAAGAAGGATCTTACTCAGAGTCGTGACTAGATTGTTGTAAATAAGGCCTAAGACATTGTCCCACGAGTGGATGAATCTGTTAGAGCTGGGTTATCCGAAAATGTGTTTTTAGAGCTTTCGACAGTCATGTGACAGACAACATCTTAGCGTGAAATCATGCTTTACAAAAGTTTACGAAACCTTTAGACAATAAAGATGACCAGCTACAACCCTACCCACATTTCACAACCTAACTTGGTTTCATATCAACTGTGGAAACATGTCAATTGGAAGTTCTACGTTTGCGACAGCAAGTTTGCGGATGACGCGTAAAGTGAAAGCAGTTGTGGCGAACAACCGCATCCTTACAGCAATCACTTGCGTTTTTGAGCCTGAAATATTTACGCATGTATTAGGGCTCATTTGCACGTCTATTGTGTGCATGTAATACGAAATTCGAAAGCAGCTTCGTGACTAATCAAGCCTCCCCCTCTTGTTCAGTGGTAATTTTTGCCTCCTCTTTCTCCCTAGTCCTATCGAATGATCCCAAGTTGTCCCCCTTCAATCTTCTGCAAAGGTTTCACACATTCGAGAGGCTTGCTACAGATTCTTTAATCTTCCTCCCGCTTATGACCAATCTATATAGTGTCCTGTGTAAGCAACCAGCTCCGAATTTCGGGCACAAAAACCTTTATCGACTGTTCCTCGTTATGCCTTCTCTCAAAAAAAGATAGGCGAATTAGTAAAGAAGTGGGGCATAAAAACAGTGTTCAGAGAAACCCTCATACTTTCTTCTGTTAAGCCATCTTCTAAAGAGAAATATGACCCATTATCGAGATCCGACTA